TCTGACTTATTTCGCTTAGCATGATACCTTCAAGATCTCCATGTTGTTGCAAATGGCAGTTTTTCATCCTTTCTTTTTTATGGCTGGGTAGTATTCCATTGTATGAGTATATATGTACTATATCTTCTTTATCCAATCATTGACTGAAAGACACTTAGGTTATTTCCATGCCTTGGCTACCATTTTTTAGTTAAAAATTAAATTTAAAATTAAATGGGGTGACATTAGTTAATAACATTATATATAGGTTTCAAGTGTACAATTCTATAATACATCATCTGTGTATTGCATTGTGTGCTCACCACCCATAGTCTAGTGTCCATTTTCATTCTTTAATCTTGGCCAATCAGGCAAAAAAAATCATTTCTTTGATTATTAATGAGGCTAAGCATCTTTCATGCTTATTTTGTCTGTTTCAGTTTCTTTTGTGAATTGCTCTTGCCCATATTTCTATTGGGAAGTTTCTGTTTTTAAACTGATTTGTCAACTTATTCCTTAGCATTTAGGTCTTGAAGGAAAGATACATTATGTATTCATTTTAGAGCTTTGTTTGAATCTCTATTGAAATGGTTCTAGTTCCTTACATAAAATCCAGTTTCCTGAGAAAATATATCAAGCAGCAGCCACAACAAGGTAACTGAACACCTGTAGGCCAACTCATCCCCACATAGCTCTCTGGTATACAGTTTCAGAAATAGGAGGTGGGTAAAGTGTGAGAAGCAATAAGTGCAGAGAACAATTAAAAACACCCAGGCTATATTTCTCTTCACTCAGTGTCTCCAGTTAAACATTTCAGTATAATTCTGGGTCAAGACAGAGCAGTTCCTCACTAACTTACTCTACTAGTTCTTGTTACATTCCTTCCTCCAAAAATATTTTAAATGGAAGAATAGATATGCAATAAATGTTGATCTGAAGATAGGTCTTAATTATTTCAGCTTTAAATGCTATTAAAACCCATCAATTTTGTTAGGTAAGAGCACCTAGTTTTCAGGTTAAATCTTATTGTAGATTGGCAAGGGAAATTTGAAGTTGGAAATACAATTTCAGCTAATGTAGGCTTCTTCCTTTATCCTTAATTGCAAATGTTATGGAAATAGGAGCAAAGAATCTACATATGTATATGTGAGCTTATATATGGTGCAAAGCTCAAATTTCAATAGATATAATGAAATGCACAATGTTACCTACCTCTGGAGGGAAGAGTCCTATGTCAGAAAAATAAATCAGAAACAAATAGATTCAATTTTCACTTTTTAATCAATCAAATCCATTTACAGCCAACAGTTACTGAAAGCTAAGTATAACGGTGCTCTGGCAGATACAAGATAAAATATAACATGCCTTTGAGGAACATACAATCTAGTAGGGGAACAAGACAGACAAACCTGAAACATTAAGGAACCATCCCTGAGAATGCTAAGTAGAACATGTATTTATTTCAGAGAAGGGGAAAATCACTGCTCGTGGTACAGGGGGTGTTAGGGTAGTTAGAAAGTTTTAATGGAAAAGTGAGATTTGAGTTGGGCTTGGACAGATGGTTAAGATCTGCATAGGTAGAGGGAAGGCAGTAGATACTGGGGCCCAGGGAGCAGAAGGCAGAGGGGTGGCATTTGGCAAGTTGCTAAGTGGAGGAAGGCTGATAAGGAAATGTGTGTGTTGAGGAGTGCTGAGAACATGAGGCTGCCCCAGCAGATGCTGTGGCAGCAGCAGGAAGCCACTGGGGTCTCCAGAGCAGGGAGCATTCTGAGGAATGGCTATGTTGTAATGTTCTATCCCATGCCAAGCTGTACTGGAGCCCGAGGCAAAAGGAGAACTTAGTAATACTGATCCGCCTGGATTTAAAATTTTCATATTTGGCTAACCATGGATTTCTGCATTAATTTTGATTTTTTAAAATATTGCATTAAATATGATTTATTTTGGTTACTGCGTTTTTTGGCACCCCTTTAAATTCTGTGCCCAAGGCAAGTGCCTCACTTGCCTCACCCTAGTCCTAGCCCTGTGTTCTGTTTCTGAAGTTTGGTGGAGGAGACATGGGTGTTTATTTTATTATTATTAATTATGGCTTACTCATGTTATAAATGTTCTTCAGTCAGTAGACAGTATTAAATAAAAACAAGATAAATTAGAATTTTCATATTAATTTGGAACTTTGGAACCCAAAAAGCATGATAGGGAAAAAAATTGTTTGTACATCTGAGTCAATCTCTAGGGGAGAATAACTCCCTGTTGCTGCATTGTATGGAGTACGAGCAGAAAAGGGTTATTTTTCCCATGTCTAAGGGGGTGAAAGATAACTGTGGGGGGGATACCAGAGGCTGCTGTCCACTGGAGACAGGCCTCGAGCAACTCAGCGGCTGTAGCCAGAGTGACTCTGCTGCATGGCCTAAGGCAAGCTTCCACAAATGGGCCACACAAGGTGGGCCCACATCTCATGTAAAACAAACCCATCCAGCTCAAAGAAAAGCCAATCACTGGGCTGCAGCGCTTACCAAAGGGCCATGACCCAAGAAGCAGTGGAACTCTATTAATGTCTCAGGGCTCCCTGCACCTACAAGAGATGATGTTTGACACAAAGAGTATTACTAATACATCTAAAAATGTAAAATCTGGAATCTATTGTCTATTAGTAAATTGATGATTAATGAAAGATTATTTTGAGCCAGAGAAGTCAATTAGTATGCAGCATAACTCTCGAAAAAGACCAAGGGAAAGGTTGATTGGTGCAGTTGCTCCTTGCGTTTGTCCCCAGATGCACGTCTCTGTCATTTAAAGTGTACCTCCCAGTCAGCGCCAATGTTCAGTGAGAGCTTCTCCAGGCTCAAGGAGGACGTTTTGGCACAATATGTAAAAGCCACAGACTGATTATTACCATCTAAATATCAAGACAATAAAAGGGAAAGTTTGATGAATATCTAGGAGAGAAAAATTTTTCTGTCTGAAATGTTTCTGACTGTCGTAAAACCTTACCCTACTTAGGAGAATTTTACCTAGCACTTTTGCCCGTGGACTTCCATGAATTTTTAAAATATAAAACACTCCATTATTTTAAATGCAAGATTGGTTGAAAAGAAACTGTAAGGAACAAAGTGATTTTTCCAAGAAATTCAGTAGGTAAGAACGGATAAATCTCCTCCTATGCCCTTTAAGAAACTCCATAAACATGAGTAGGGCTTCAGATATCTACAGTTTAAAAAAACATTCAGAGAAGCCACAATATTATTTCAAGCCCAAGATAATTTCCCTTAGAAAAATATTAGCAGCTTACAGTGAGCAGAAAGACCACTTGATGAATAAAAGCAGGATGGCCTTGCTCCCTCTAGATAATATATTTGACCTCTACCAGAAAGTGCAGAGTCCACTTGGCGAAGCATATTATGTCAATTTAAGACTAATCATCTCTTCTCTACAGATATTTCTATGTGTACAAAAATAAGTGGCCTGCTTCCTCACCAGATGAATGGGTGGTCACAGACGACGGCTGCTCCTTGAGGCCTAGGACAGATATCTGCTCCACCACACACTTGCTGGGATAATGACCACTCTTGTCAGCATAACTGAAATAATAAAAATGGCATTAGGAAAAGAGAAACAGGGGTTTGGACTGGTTACCAGGTCAACATTCCCAACTTTGTCAGTTCCCCTCCCTTCTTTTCCATACAGAAGTCTAAACCATATAGTTGTCATATTTACTAAGATAAAGAGATGGAAACAGATGACTCTACATGCCAAGGGCAAGCTAACCAGTGGTGAAACCAATCTCTCTCTTCTTTTTTTAACAAGCCATTTAGAGAGAAATCAACTAAGGACACTGAAGTCACAAATGTGACTTGGACACAGCAATCAAATAGTAAGAAATCAGATATTCAATGAATTGTTGAATGAATAAATGGGACTTGAATTCTTTTAAATTTTTTTTAGAGAGGGAAGGAAAGAAAGATGGAGACAATAAGGAAGAGGGGTTCGGAGTGATTGAAAAAAATAATCCAGGGGGACCCTGGACCAAGATAGTGACATAAGAGGCTCCTGAATTTCCTTCCTCCCATGCATGGATGCACCAAATGTAAAGCTACACATGAAGCAGTTCCCTCAGAGAAATCCAGAAACTAGCTGACTGATTCCTAAACATCTAGTAAGTGAAAAAATATTCACATCAAAATAGGTAGGAAAGGCTGAGACACATTCTCTCTATAAGTCCCATCCCCAGCAAAGTGCCATACAATTGGGAGGGAACCGCCAACTGCCAACTTCTCCCTGAAGATTTAAGGGTCTGTACCCCAACTTTTAAGACACCCACCTGAAGAACAGGCCTCCAAATCACCTAACTCAAATAGCCAACAGGGTTTGTGTTCGTGAGTCCCACAGGATTACAGCAAACAAAGAAGCAGTTGTTAATGGGTGTGCTGCCAGCTATTCCCCCAGGGCTCAGCACAGAGAGAGTGAGCAAAAACACCCATTTTCTCAGTTTCTCCCTGGAAGGGGTTTGACTGCAAACTTTCACAGCTACTGCCTGAGGGTCTAGCTTCTAATCAGCTTGCATCTAGGTGCTGACTGAAGTATCCCCCTTTGGGACACTGATGGGTCTTGGTACCCCCTCAACTACTGGTAGCCACTAAGAAGACAGTTGGCAGCTCGGATAATCAATCACAAAGACTTGAGAGGCAACCAGGAGCTCAGGCTGGGCTGATTGATGAAGTTCACCTCTTGTACACAAGACCAATCTGTCAAGACTGGAAGAGGTGGCTGTTTTATCTAATATGCAGAAACCAACACAGAGAGTCACGGAAAATGAAGAAACAAGGAGTATGTTTCAAACAAAAGAACATGATTAGTCTTCAGAAACTGACCTTAATGAAATGGAATTAAGTTATTTACATGATAGAGAGGTAAAAATAATCGTCATAAAAATACCAAGATCAGGGAGCAATGTATGAACCTGTAGTGAAGACTTTATGCCAAGACTGTAACAAGAGACAACAAAGGTCATTATATAATGATGAAGGGGTCAATTCATTAAGAGGATATAACATTTGTAAATATTTATGCACCCAACATTGGAGCACCTAAATATATAAAGCAAATATTAACAGATCTGAAGGGAGAAATAGACAACATTAAAATATTGGCAGGGGTCTTCAACAACCCACTTTCAACAATGAATAGATCATTGTCTATTCAATAATGAATAGACAGAAAATCAATAAGGAAACATTGGACTTAAACTACATGTTAGACCAAATGGACCTAACAGATAGATACAAAACATTCCATTCAACAGCAGCAGAATATACACTTTTATTAAGCATACATGGAACATTCCCAAGGACAGGTCATATGTTAGGCCACAAAACAAGTCTTAACAACTCTAAGAAGACTGAAATTATATTAAGTATCTTTTCTGACCATAATTGTATGATGGTAGTTATCAACTGCAAGAAGAAAACTGGAAAATGCACAAATATGTGGAGATTAAATGACATGTTCCTTAACAACCAATGGGTCAAAGAAATCAAAAGGGAAATGCAAAACAAAATCACAGTGACATATCACCTCACACCTGTTAGGATGTCTATTATCAAAAAGACAAGAGATAACAAATGCTGGTGGGAATGTGGAGAAAAGGGAACACTGGTGCACTGTTGCTAGGAATGTAAACTGGTATGACCACTATAGAAAACAGTATGGAGGCTCTTCAAAAACTTAAGAACAGAATTACCATATGATCCAGCAATCCCACTTCTGGGTATATATCTGAAGGAAATGAAATAACTATCTCAAAGAGATATCTGCACACCTATGTTCATTGCAGTATTATTCACAATAGCCAAGGTATGGAAAAAATTTAAGTGTCTGTCAATGGATGAATGGATAAAGAAGATGTGGTTTATATATACAATGAAATACTACTCAGCCTTAAAAAAATATGGATATCCTGCCATTTGTGACAACATGGATGAACCTGGAGGGCATTACGCTAAGTGAAATAAGCCAAACAAAGAAAGACAAATACTGCGTGGTATCATTATATGTGGAATTTTTTTTTTTAAAGCCAAACTCATACAGAGTACAATAGTGGTTGTCAAGGGGGTGGGGATAGGGGTTAAATAGGGAGAGGTTAGTAAAAGGGTACAAACTTTTAGTTATAAGATGAATAAGGTCTAAGGATCTAATGTATAACATGATGACTATAGTTGATAATACTGTACTGTATAAATGACATTTGCCAAGAAAGTAGAACTTAAATGTCCTCACCAAAAAAAAAAAAAAAAGGTACAAATTGGTAGTTACAAATTGTCATGGAGATGTACAGTAAAGCACAGGGAATATAGTCAATAATATTACAATAACTATGTATAGTGCCAGGTGGGTACTAGATTTGTTGGGGAAGTCACTTTGTAAATTATATAAATGTCTACCCACTATGTTGTCCACCTGAAACTAATATAAAATAATACTGCATGTCAACTGTCATTGAAAAAATAAAGGTAAATATGTGAGGTGATAGATGTACTAATTAACTCAATGGTGGGAATCCTTTCACAATGTATACATATATCATATTATCAAGTTGTACACTTGAAATATATTTTAATTTTATTTGTCAGTTATACCTTAATGAACCTAAAAAAAAAGAAAAGTGAAACACTACAAATGACCTTTATCAGTAACTTCTTTAAATAGTATCTTAAAATATCAGCTGTGCATTTGAGGATAGCAAAAGGATGGCATAATTTACCTAAGATAATGCACAGATTTTTTTAGCTGTCATTACCTGTTGGTCAAAACACCTGAAGAGAATGAAAACTTCCTGTGCAAGAATTGCTTCTGGTGAAGGTATCGGAATGAATGGCCATCGTCGAGATATAATTCACCCACAGCAGAACCCTGGAGAGTGAATCACAGATAGAGAATGTGCTTATATAACAGCTTTCTAGGAAAAGAATGTCACCCCCTAAAGGAAAATAATAGATTTTAAAATTTGTGAAAAATTATGTTGAAAAAAGCTTAATATTCAATCTGTACAAAGTAGTCATACAAATATAGACATTCAATACTCATTAGTGAAATAATATGAAAAGGAATTCACATAAGAGGAGCACAAAGAGGCCTTGTTGAAAGAAATGTGAACTATGAAGTATGGTCAGTGGCATAGGTGGCTTCTCCAAATATGTCCTAGAATGTGACAACAGGTCATAAAAGTTCATAGAATGAAACTGAAGTTAAAAAAAAATTAGTATATAATGAGATCAACTAGCTTTAGAAGACCCTCAATTTAGAGGATGGTATCTAGTTTCTACATTTTTTTAGTAAGAAGACTCCTTTTGCACGTCAGACATTGTCACAGCACTCTGTATGGCAGTTTACTGTTATTGATAATGCTTGATGAGCCATGGATCTAAAGTCTCTTGTATTTATTCTGTGGCCTCTCATGGGCTGGAGGCCCAATTTGGCCCAAGAAAACATGGCTAAGTGAAATAGATGAAAAAGAAGGATGTAAGAGAAAGAAAGCTTAATTATTTTATATTTGCGTAAGAGTAAGAATTTATGTTTGGTACTGTATTTGGGCAAATGGATAGGAGAGGAATCTGCTATAGGCCTCATTTGTCTTAAAAGGACAGATCAATTCTGGATCCTTTCAGGCTTAACCCAAGGAGATTTTAGTTGTTTGAGCCATCTGATGAGAACGGAAGTCATTGCGTGCGGGCGGTCTCCCTGAAATGGCATAGATACAGATACCCTTTTACAGAAGACTGAGTTTCAGGGCTAACCCATGTGGCAGGCTGCCTACACCCCCAGTGACTTTTCAGTCCAACGGTGATCAATGCCAAGCTGCAGGGCACCAAGGGTCACAGTGCCCCAGAGGAAATTCCTATCATTTTTAATTCTCAGAATTCCCTTAAGAACAAAGTCAGACAAGCTGGACAATTATTCAGAAATGATTCAAAACTTTGATAAAAATCAGAAGCACCTATCCTGTTAGATGGGGCTCACCACTTCTACACAGTGTCACACACTCAAAAGGCTACCGCTGCAAAGAGACAGAGTAGTAACAAACGAGATGTGTAAAGGTAACATTTTCCACATACCTTAGTGCTTAGAGCCACTCGGAGCCCATATGGGAAATCAGTCATCCAGCCTGTGGATTTTCCTATCCTTGTCTTTATTGGTACTATACTTCCACCTCGTTGAAACACTGGTATCTATAACAGAGCAACACTCTCAGAGCAGGAGTATTCATATAAGGCAATTTCAAAGTAGAATTTTAAAATACTGCATTGTATAAGACTTCATGCTTTACAAGTATAGACTCAAAGGCAAAATAAATTTATGAACACAGAGATGGCAAACATGGGGGCTCTGGCATTAAAAGGAAAAGAGCTCAAACACTAAAAAATGGTCCATGTTTTAATTATTAGACAAACTTCTCACCCTTCATCAACTGATTACATATTCTGCTTATCCTATCAATAGCCATTCCTATTTTGTATGTGTTTTTAAATTTTCCTATCAATAAAATAAACATTTATTTCTAGGGCCCGGCTAAGGAGTGAATTTTTCCCTCTGTGTAAGCAGGCTGGATGTATATGTGTATGGGTATATAGAAAAGATGGTAGTTTCTTGGTTTGGGGGAGATAACTTTTGTCCTTAACTCACGGCACCTATACCCTTCTTGCTCCCTGCTTCCCTGGATCACCAGGATGAATGACTCAATTCTGAGGGGAAATTTGTGGAACTTCTGTTATAGAAGCTACCAAGGGTACTTCAGTGATTCCAACCACAGTGTTGTAGGCATGACCCAGATCTGTGGGTCTTCTGGGATGGCACTGCCCAGCAGGGAGAGCAGTAGGTTTCCTGCCTTCCAGCACAATCCTCTATAGGGAAGCTCCCTGGATCACATGAAGGCTTATACTTCACTCTGAGTAAAGTTCAAACAGGAAGAGTATAAGAGTATAAATGAAGTAGGGAGTGAGAGTGGAGTAGTTAAGATATCCACTCTCGGCTTGATTTACAGTTGGCAGCAAGAAGTAAAGCATATCTATCTGCCCACTCTCATCAGCCATTCTCTCTCTCTCTCTCTTTTTTTTTCCCCTCAAAGAATGAGGTAGTAAGTTAGTATGGAATGGGATGAAGTGGGAGTCCAGCTGACCTGGGGTCTTGTTTCAATTCTGCCACAGTCTGGCCAGAACTCTGGACAAGTACAATCATTTAACTTCTCTGAACCTCAGTTTCTTCACCTGTAAGCATGTGGGATTAGAGTAGATGAATGTTAAGATCTCTTCTATATCTGAAAGTTGACATCTGAAATAATTTTCTTAATGGAGTTCATATTGCTGCTGACAATTAAAAAAATAACATCAATATCTATTTATTCATCTTCACAGTACTGAGAACTTATAGTAGTGGTTGTAATTCAGCTGCAGGAGCCAACTTCCCTTCAGAAATTAAGCCTGTATGAGCCACTTTGATTCTATTATCATAACTGGTAGCATTCTCTTAGGCCTAGAGGTCCAGGGTTACAGTGAAAAACTCATGTTTTGACTTGGTCCTATAGAAGGACATTCTGTATGGCATGTGTGGAGATCACCATGTTGGCTCTCTGTCATCAGTGTTATTATTTTTCTTAGACACACAATGTAAATATTTGGGGAGGAGTTGTTTGTCCTTGATGTTTCATACTGTGAAATCAGAGTATATGTTATTTTTATACTTTTTTTTCACAGTTAAACAGCTTTATTAATATAATTTACATGCTATACAATTCACCCATTTAAAATATACAGTTAAATGGTTTTTTAGTATATTCTGAGTCATGCAACCATATCACAACCAATTTTAAAACATTTTCTTCACCCCTAGAAGAGTCCCTGTGCCCATTAGCAGTCACTCCCCATGGCTCCCCACACCTTCTCTGTTCCCCAGCCCTGGGCAACCACTAATGTGTGTGTCTCTAAATGTGTGTGTTATTATGCAGAACACTAATGTCCTTGGTTCTTTCTATGTAGGCATATATTATGGACTGAATGCTTGTTTCTCCCCAAATTCACATGTTGAAGCCCCAATCTCTAATGTGACTAAATCTGGAGATAGGCCATTTATAGAATTAAGGCTAAATGAGGTCATAAGAGTGGGGCCCTAATCCAACAGCTCACTCTCTCCCTCTGCCATGTGAAGACACAGCAAGAAAGTGCCTGTCTACATGCCAGGAAGACAGTCCTCACCAGGAACTGAATTGGTTGACACCTTAATCTGGGACTTCCAGCCTCCAGAATTGTGAGGAAATAAGCCACCCAGTCTTTGGTATTCTGCTATGGCAGTCTGAGCAGACTAATATAGCACAATAGAGGAAAATAACAGTGAAAATAACTTACAGAGTCCAAGGCTACTGGGATCTTCACAGTACATGCTCCTTCCCAATGAGCAAATGTCTTAGAGTCATACCAGACCTGAAAAGGAACAGACCCTATGAAAAAGAATATAGGAGCAACTCTGCTCACAATTTCATTATTCAGTGAAACACCCATTTGTACTGATTTCAAATAACCAGAAAGCTAAAATAAGTATAATTTTTAAAAAATCTTGAGTAGAAGTTAGGGAGAACATATGCTTTTAAGATCCCAAAGGACTAACCTACTACTGTTGATAGATTAATTTGACTAAATGGCCACTAATTTGTCCATCCATCCATCTATCCATCCATCCATCCAAACGTTATTAAACAACCTACCAGGTGCCCAGCACTGCTAGGTATACAAGAGTGAACAGAAAGACACAGTTCCAGACCTCATGGATTTTATAGTCCAGTTGGCTTATAAAAACAATGCATCTATTAGTAAAAAAGATGAAACTTTTAGAAAACAACAACAAAGAAGAACAGCACATTGCAAGCAAATAAATTACAAATGAGGCAGGAGAAAAGAAAAGTGTCAGAGAAGGAAACAGATCTTGGAGAAAAACAAATGAAAACTTGGATTACTACTATAGGGTCATTTATTTTTTACAGAATACAATACAATTTAGGGATGAAGTCCAAACTCTTATCTGGGATTCTTGTCAAGGGGGTTTAGTTGCTGAAGTACAAGGAAGGTCCTACAAAATAATTTGATGGGATAAATCTTTAAGATACCATCAAAAGCAGCATGAAAACAAAAACCTCTTTCTCTCTGCTAGCCCAGTATAATTTCTGGCAGCTGGAGTCTATTTTGCAAGTTCACCTCCTGGGATTACTACATTCTTTATATAGCTGGGCTGTTGCATCTGTCACTGTCCTGCTGTGAATGTGAGAGGGCTGTTTCTTGACTATGGTGAACTTTTTTTTAACTAAAATTTATTGGGGTAACAATGGTTAGTAAAATTACATAGGTTTCAAGTATACACATATGTAATACATCATCTATATATCACATTGTGAGCTACAGTGAACTCTTTTTTTTTAAGAATTTTTTTTTTAATTGGGGAATTGGGGGAAGGGGAACAGACAAGTTGCTGTCCTTTTGTTCTTCAGTCTAGTTGTGGAGGACGTTGCTTCACTGGCCCAAGTTGGCACCATCATTGCACTCTTCCCAAGCGAGGCAGATCAGTCGCCGGCTTCTGGACGGCCGCTCACTGCAGCTGCTGGCCGCTCAAGCTGGCTGCTGGCTACCCACGGTAGCCCATGGCAACCCACTGCAGCAGGGGCTGCAGCCTAGACATTGCCGGCGACTCACGGCAGCCCAGCTCCAGGTTGAGCTGTTGTTCAGCATCTTAGCTGTGGAGGGCAGTGTCACTGGCCCTCATGTGGGATCCGAACCGGGCCCTCTGGCATCCCAAGCCAGTTCTTAACCATCGCGCCACTCGGCCAGCCCATACAGTGAACTCTTAATTCAACAGGATCAGCCCCACCTCATCATGATGTATTATCCTTGGCTGGATTTAATATGTTAATGTTTCATCAAGGATTTCTGTGTCTGTCTTTATGAGTGATATTGTCTTAGCTTTCTTTTCTTGTAGCATCTTTCTTAGGTGAATTCCAGTAGCTCTAGATAAAGAGCTGGTGGGAGTGAAAGACAAACAACAATAACAACAACAAAACCAAACTTATTCAAAAAAGATTTGGGGATTAACCTGTCTACCATTTTTAGAACTAGTTAAAATGAGGGGTATAGAGTATGTGCTCTGGTGCAATATACAAAGATCTCCAGCCTAGAAAGGGTATAACTGGTACAAAGCACCATGTAGATCAGACCTAGAGCTCAGTCACCAAGCTGTTCACCCAGCAAGTACTTACTGAAGGCCTACTATGTACCAGGTACCCATCTAGACGCTGGGGATACAGCAGTGAACCTAACAGATAAAAATCACTGCCTTCAAGAAGTTAGCATTCTAATGGGAGAGACAGATAATAAAACATATAAACAAATACATAGAATGTTAGAAGGCTGCACAATCTGTGGAGAAAAATAAAGGATGAAGGAGGCTGGACGGGGGCAGTGGGAGTGATTTGTAATCCTAAACAGGTAGTCAGAGAAGGCTTCACTGAGAAGGAGACATTTGAGAGACTTGAAGGAGAGGGAATGGGGAGAATGACAGTGAGGGCCTTTAGACAGCCCCCTTGCACAGTGTAACGTGGTACTAGCTAACCAGTGAATTAAAGGTCTAGCAAGAAACAACTTGGCTCTTCTACCCAGGCTTTAGGAAGAGGTAAGCAAGAGAAACAATTATAGAATGCTCTGGGAAAATGGTGCTGGAGGAATATATTATATAGTCACAACAATGTGCTTGCAATGATGATAGGTCATTAATAAAAATGTGTGGCTAAGTCAGAAAGGGAGTTAGCGCCTCTTAATGGGAGCTTATACTTTGTTAGAATAAACTTGAGAAACTCTCAGCAAAAATGCTTGACAGGACAACTTATTTAGCTGTTGCTGTGTTTCACCTTTTCCTCAGGTTTCTGCTTGGCAGGGGAACCTCTGTAAAGAGCCCTCACCTTCAGAACTGCAAATTACTGGAGAAACCAAGGGGAAAGAAGATAATTCATGAACATTCTGGAGAAAAGCCTGGTTATTGTCATGACAAGTGCAGTGGGCTGATTGGTGGCCCCTCAAAAAGATATATTCACTTCCTAATTCCTGGAAGGAGTGAATATTACTCTCAAATTCATAATAAATTTGACTAAATTAAGGATCCTGAGATAGGAAGATTATCTGGGATTATCCAAGTGGGTCTTGAATGTCATCACAGGTGTCCTTGTAAGAGCCAGGAGGAAGAGACACAGACACACAGGAGAAGGTGCTGTGAAGATGGAGGCACACACTGAGGTAATGCGGCTACAAGCCAGGAACACGGAGGATTGTGGGCAGCCGCCAGAAGCTAGAAGAGAGCCATGGAACAGATTCTCCCTCAGAGCTTCCAGAGGGAACCAACCCTGCTGACACTTTGATTTTGGACCTCAAACCTTCAGTACTGTGAAAGAATGAATTTTTGTCATTTTAAGCCACTAAGTTTGTAGTAATTTGTTACAGCAGCCTCAAGAAACCAATACAACAATCAAATATGTAAAGCTGGATGGAGGGAGAACACTGGAACTGCACGTGGTTTCCTGGTATTGCCGTAACAGGGCTTGATTGTACTGAGCAGTGAGCATGGCCTGGCTCAGCCACCTCACCTCGTGCCTTGACAGCCCAAGAGTATCTTGCCATGGTGGTTCCACATCAGTTCAGTATCCTTCATGGCTCTTCCCCCCGTCTGCTGAAGCCTGTGGTGATGCTCCAGTGCTCAAGGACTCTCTCCAGGGTCTGTCTCCTTCCTGCTCTCCATTCCATACCCTCTTTCCCTGGTTTGGTTACCCCAAGTGTCTGCCCTGTCTCTTCTCCTGGCTCCTTTGGACATATCCTTGGTCTGCATCTGGAGGCTGTTGCTCTTATCACCCATGGCTGTCTGCTCTGCAGCCCATGGGTTATTCCCTTCTGTCCCTCATGCCTTGCGTGGGTTCAGTGCCCTGGGCTTCAGCAGGTCCATGTGATATTTTCGATAGTGACAATCATCAACGACAATAACCAATAAAAGAGCAGAGGAAGGCTGGAGGGGCACAGAAGGAAGTCACTGTTGATACTTTTTATCCACTCCCGTGAGTGTCTGGAGACCAGCTTTTGGTATCAAAAACTCAGGATGCAGATAGAGCAAGAAACAAAGAGCAATGTCTCTTTATACTTATGTTTCCCCCTAGAGTATGATACCCCATAGTAGACTAAAGATTTCTTACTACTCAAAACCTCAATGTGTTTACAAGGAGTCACTTACACAAGTCAAAGTGTGAAGATAAAGAATTACTCTGATCCTCCTTGTTCACCTATTCATCTCTCTCCCTGCTTTTCCATTAAGTTTCTTGACCTCTGAGGACAGTGGTCATGACTTACAAGAATCTTCAGTTGCTATAGTCATTTGGGCTGTCTTCACACCTGCATGATGAAGAAATCTATTTCCTAACGGGCTAATTCATTGGAATGAGGGATGAGATACGAGACATGGAAGATACGTGACTGTCATTTACTCTTACCTCATTTCGTCCCGGCAGAAACACATCAATCACAGTAGCTTTTGGCTCTGTGACCGGATGAACCAATAAAGCACATCCTGAAAATGGAGAAGAAATAAAATTGAATATCATTATAAGAGGTCTGAAAACATCCTTTCCTTTTAATTGAGTGCTTTTGTGGTTTTAAAGACCAATCATTGTGACATTCTTAAAGGTAGAAACCTTGGTGAGTTGAATTAGTGATTCATCAGAGATAGATGCATTGCTAGAAGGAGGACAGATGCTCAAAGAGGTAACTGTATTATTGCCTATCATTAATTAATTTACGGAATATTGGGATTATAGGAAGGGACCCTTTCTTACACAGTCTAGCAGTGTCATTTTGTACACAGCTGCTAGTGTGTCAATAGCCTGAAAGTGCCGTTGCACTTCTCCAGGTGCTTCATTGTTTGCTATAAATGACGTTGGTGATGGTAAGATGTTATCCACAAGTATGGTTGGTGTGGATACTCAGATCCTCTTCCTTGTGCAATTATCATTGGGAAGGCTAAAATTCTCTTAAAGGCAATCTGAATTATTAATTTTGTTTTGACCTTTGTATCACACATATGTAAAATTCACCCATTTATGAATTCACTCCTGAATTCAACAAATATTTATAGAGCGCCTACAGAGTACGAGGCACTGTGCTAAGTTAAACTCTGGAGATACGGTGGCAAATAAGACAGACATGTCTCAGCCCTCACAGAGTTTACATTCAGTGAAGACCAATATTAACTAAGTAATTACAAATTAATTAGCGTTATGACAAATACCCAAAAGGTGAAAGTACAAAATGAAATGAAAATTATGGAGTAGGAGGGGCTGACTTTGATTAAAGTAGGTGGAATTAGATATTAGAAGTAATTTTGGTCAGAAAAATTTTCTCTAAGAAAGTAGCTATTTAAACTGAGACCTAAGAATGAGTGAAGACCTAAAGAAGTAGGTATTTTACATTACGGGGTTTCCAGTCTCTGGAGTTCCACCTTTGGGGAAACTTTCTGTTGAGTCTGGCTTCTTGAGCCCTATTCCCAAGATAATAAACTTCCATGTTCTGGATTTGGTGGTTAATCCTTGTTAAAGAAGAATCCCCGCTCCACACCCTGATCCAATTTTGCATATGAAATAAGCCCTTTAGGGTCTTACTGCAACCATCTCATCTACTTTTTTCTACATCCCTTCCCTGCAGTGGTATCATAAGCTTAGGAGTGGACCCAGAAGAATCTCAATTGCATCCATAAAAGGAATGGATTTATTTAAAGTTAACAATATTATGAGAGGTGCTACATGACAACAGAATAGAGCTATGATCCCACTTATGCACTATAAATCTTGGTGATAAAATTTCTTTTATAGTTTTGGCTTTCTTGAATTAGGGGTTTTTTTTTTAGTGCTCTTACACTAGAAAATACAATAATAAGAACATAATTACAGTATTCATCATAACTATAATCAAGAAATGCTCACCCAGCATGTATTCATCTTCCACACCAAAAGTCTCTAATTCATCAGGAAACTCTACCCACAGAGGCCTGGGGAAAGGAAAAAAAAAAATTCTTACATCAACATCATTAGCTGTTTCATTACAATTCAATCACTTATATTTTCAGTTTCATAACTATTCAAAGGAAATCAGAATCATATATTTCAAGATTTTATGAGCAACTGCTATGATTACTTGTATGTTTCTTATGTGAAAGAGCTATTAATTAGCTTAAATGTTCCAATGAAAGATTGAGAATGGTGGTATCTGCAATTTTTCCTTCTGACTGTTGAGCACTAAATACTACTCCAACAGGCAGAATTAGAGCTTTGTGCAAGTCCAAATGCCTAAAACATTTGGTATAAAACAAATTAAATGTTTGTAAAACCATATTTTATAATGATATAAAATCTGTGCTTTTTTTTTCTAGGGTTAGTGTGCCATTTTTTTTTCATGTTGTCACTGCCTTTCATACATCCTGAATCATTACCTATTTAAATTAAAAGAACTGGCTTAACTTGTTTTCAAGCTGGCAACATTTTTGGAGGGTAGCGAAACTGGTGTGTGGGTTTTGTTTTATTGTTATTGTTGTACGTAACTAGAAGGCATTTGGGCTTATAAAAATAAAACTTTTAATATCTATGTATCTGAATATTAACTTAATGGTTCAATAATTTTTTCAATTTAATGAGGAAAAGATATATTTCAGTAAGAGAAACTTATTTTTAGTTTATTCACTAGCCTTTGTAATAATATATTCCCTTTCCTATTGAATGGTAACAAAGTAGTGGTGTCCAAAGCTGGCTGATGTCTAGAATCACTAGGGAAACGCCTAACAAATAGAGATCCCCAGGACCTACTGGAGGAGGTTCCTAGGAGGTCCGGAGGTGTGGCTTTGGAATCTATAGTTTCAAAGAGCTCCCAGGTGATTCTGGTCTGAGCCAGATTTAGGAACTGCTGATCCAGAAGCTTTGGGGTACTAGGTGTGTCTCTGTGTGTATCTTTCTCTAACATAGAAAGTTGATTTTTCATATCACGCCTTCAAAATAGAATCAGAATATAATTTATACACCAGGAAAAATATTCACCTCAAACTTGGAATGGTTTAGCCCTAAGGGTAAAATAGAGCCTAAGACTGGCAGAATAAATTGTTCATGAGAGGATTCTTGTGGGTTAAATGCTGAATGAATTCAAAGTCATTTCCTTTTTCTCAATTTCTGTCTCATATCAATATTAACACTTGAATCACAAAGTAGGAGGGGACTAATTATCTTCCGCAACCTCAACTGCCAGCACCTTGCTTACAATCAGCCCATAAGCTGATTGACTTCTTTCCCCAGTGGTTGGGTAGACTCGTTGTTGGGGGCCTCTGATTGGTGAAGCCCATTTACCTCATGATGGGTTCGGAAGCCACGTGTGCGCGGTAGAACAGAGAATACCAATAGGGCAGAAGGGCGTAGCGCTCTCTGATGGCTTCTCTGATGAGCCGGGTGTGTTCCTCCCCGAAGAGCCAAGGTTCCCGTCGCTTTGTCTTTATGGTGGCATGGCCACGAAAGAAGGGCTGGTAGGCTCCGGCCTGGTACCAACGTACTAGCAGCTCTGCCTCTGGATTCCCGATGAAGCCGCCTACATCAGCTGATTAGTCAGTCAAAGAAAGTCTTTATCAGGCAACCAGGCTTCTAACAAATGATGCACACAGGTAAAATAAGACCTTGAAGGCTGACGGGAAAGGTGTTGTATGTGCACTCAAAGTGCTGGGATAAAACTGTGGCCTCAAATTAGGGAGCACATAGTAAAAAAACAGCCTATTTGGGGATGTGACAATATGCTGTTTGAATATTCTTATCAAAAGGTCCAGAGGCTTTCCTGAAAGATCGACATTCAGGTATGTTCCAGAAATTGTAAAATGTCTGCCTGATTCAATAAGTCTGTGTTTAGGGGTGGGGTGGGGGGTGGAGGTTTGGTAACTGATTTCTCTTGAAAGCAACAGCTAAAGGAAGATAAGAATTATGGAAATAACTAAAGAGAAGCAGATAATCAGAATTAGAGGTGTAAGTGGAATTTGCTGTTTAGCCCTGTGTAAGCAGGATACATATTCCTTGTATTATATGTGGACCAATGCCATAAAAACATACCATTCAAAAACTGATTTTAAGTAGTTTCTATTCCTACAGAAAACAAGGAGCAGCTGGAACTGTAGCCATGCGTAGCACCTTCCATATTGCGATCTCTCATCTGCAGAGAATTACTGGGATTTGGGGAAGACAGCCTATTAGAGAATCTTATTTACCGGTAACTAAATTGATCTTTCCCAAGAGCATATCTTTTTTTTTTTTTTAACAGTAAAAATACGTCACAGAATTTTAAACCTCCTGAGTAAAAAGGGTTTCTGTAAGGCTGATTTCTGATTTGCTAAATCCTCTAATTCTCTCCATTTTTCTCCTTTTTCTTTTTAGAATAATGAGTTTTATTTATTTATTTATTTATTTATTTTTTAATTGGGGAATTGGGGGAGGGGAACAGTGTTGGGGAATTGGGGAAGGGAACCAGCCAAGTTGTTGTTCTTCTATCTTAGTTGTGGAGGGTGCCAGTCACCATCTGGCTTCCCGTTGGCAGCTCGTAGCCTCTAAGCGCAAGGTGCTATGTTCAGTCTTGGTTGCGTGTGGGCGTACCCACCATCCCATGTGGGAGTCAAACCTGGCAGCCTTGCTGTTAAGAGCGTGCGCTCTATCCACTGAGCCATCCGGGTGGCAGCTCAGCTCAAGGTGCTGAGTTTGGTCTTAGTTGCAGGTGAGCATAGCCCACCATTGAACAAGCAGTTCTGTTGTTAGGAGCACGTGCTCTCACCAGCTGAGTCATCCTGCCACCTGTTGGCAGCTCAGCTCAGGCACAGCAACACTGGCGCATGTGGGAATTGAACCGGTGGCCATGTTGCTCAGAGCTCGCACTCTTAAGTCAACTCTTAACCAACTGAACCACTCAGCTGGCCCAAGTTTTATTTATTTCCAACCCTTTTACATTCATTTTCCAATTATAGTTGAATATTTTTCTCACTTCCAAGAAGAAAAGTTATGTTTCAGGAAGAGAAACTCAGTTATCAAGAGTGCTAAGGAGGAAGCAATGAGAGAATGAAGAAAAGCAGCACTCTGGCTCCCTTTCTGACTTTGTTTTGTGTCCTCAATTCAGATAAGACACAAATAGCTTAGAAGCTACCCTTTCACCCTCCTCATTTTCTCACATTTATCCCTGCTCAAAATAGCCAATGAAAAGGGATTTGTGACCAGCTTTAACAAAAGTACCTTTACTTTTTATTTTCTATCACTTCAAGCCTCAGGATCTCATCTTACCTCCACAAAAAGAGATCCCAGTAACGTTGAGAGTGAGTAACATAGGGATAGAAATTTTCAGGTAACTCCATTTTGCTCTGTTGTCTCCTGTCCACACAGCACCTTTAGTCACCAGTAAAAGGTATTAAAAAAAAATCACAAATCAGCCTATGCACTGAATTTCATATTTAGATTCCTTATGTGTAATAGACAAATTAATATAAAAAATTTTTTAAAAATAATTTTTGTTTTCAGTATATTGGGGTGACAATTGTTAGTAAAGTTACATAGGTTTCAGGTATACAATTCTGTAATACATCATCTATATATCACATTGTGTGTTCACCACCCAGAGTCAGTCCTCCTCCCATCACCATATATTTGATCTTTTTTATCGTCATCTACCACCCCCCTTCCCCCCACCCTCTGGTAACCACTAAACTATTGTCTGTGTCTATGAGTTTTTGTTTCTTCATTTGTTTGTCTTGTTCCTTTGTTTTCAGTTTTATATACCACATATCAGTGAAATCATATGGTTCTCGACTTTTTCTGTTTGACTTATTTCACTTATTAGCATTATAATCTCAAGACCCATCCATGTTGTCGCAAATGACACTATTTCATCTTTTCTTATGGCAGAATAGTATTCCATTGTGTATATATACCACATCTTCTTTATACAATCATCTATCGAAGGACACTTTGGTTGTTTCCATGTCTTGGCCACCGTAAATAAAGCTGCAATGAACACTGGAGCACATATATCTTTACAGATAAATGTTTTCAGATTTTTTGGGTAGATACCCAAGAGAGGGATTACTGGGTCATATATAATTCTATTTTTAATTTTTTGAGGAATCGCCACTGCCTTCCATAGTGGCTGCACCAATCTGCATTCCCACCAACAGTGTGTGAGGGTTCCTTTTTCTCCACAGCCTCTCCAACACTTGCTATTAATTGTCTTGTTGATGATAGTCATTCTTACTGGTGTGAGGTGATTTCTCATTGTGGTTTTGATTTGCATTTCTCTGATTATTAGTGATGTTGAGCATCTTTTCATATGTCTATTGGCCATTTGTATGTCCTCTTTGGAGAAATGTCTATTAAGATCCTCTGTCCATTTTTAAATTGGATTGTTTGTTTTTGTTGTTGAGTTGTATGAGTTCCTTATATATTTTGGATCTCATCCCTTTATCAGAGGCATTGTTTGCAAAACTCTCCCATTTGGTTAGTTGCCTCTTTATTTTGTCAATGGTTTCTTTTGCTGTGTAGTTTTTAGTTTGATTTAGTCCCATTCATTTATTTTAGCTTTTACTTCCCTTGCCTTTGAAGTCAAATTCATAAAATCTTCTTTGAACCCAAGGTCCATATATTTAGAACCTATGTTTTCTTCTATGTGGTTTATTGTTTCAGGTCTTATGTGTAGGTCTTTGATCCATTTTGAGTTAATTTTGGTACATGCTGACAGATAGCAGTCTAGTTTCATTCTTTTGCATGTGGCTTTCCAATTCTCCCAGCACCATTTATTGAAGGGGCTGTCTTTTTTCCATTGTATGTTTTTGGCTTCTTTGTTGAAAATTATCTGTCCATATTTATATGGGTTTATTTCTGGGTTCTTGACTCTATTCCATTGGTCTGTGATCGGTTTTTCTGCCAATACCATATTGTTTTGATTATTGTTGCCCTGTAGTACAAGATGAAGTCAGGGAGTGTGATACCTCCAGCATTGTTCTTTTTTCTTAGGATTGCCTTGCCTATTCGGGGTCTTTTGTGGTTCCATACATCTGATGATTTTTTGTTCTATTTCTTTAAAAATGCAACTGGGATTTTGATGGGGATTGCATTAAATCCGTATGTTGCTTTGGGTAATATGGCCATTTTAACTATATTGATTTTTCCAATCCATTAACATGGAATGTGTCCATTTCTTTGTATCTTCTTAAATTTCTTTTAAAAAATGTCTTATAGTTTTCAGTGTATAGGTCTTTCACGTCCTTGGTTAAGTTTATTTCTAGGTATTTTATCCTTTTTGTTGCAATTGCAAAAGGAATTGTACTTTTTATTTCTTTTTCTGAGATTTCATTGTTAGTATATAGGAATGCAATGGACTTTTGTACATTGATTTTGTAGCTGGCACCTTTACTGTATTCATTTATTGTTTTTAATAGCTTTCTGGTAGAGTCTTTAGGATTTTCTACATATAGCATCATGTCATCTGCAAAAAGTGACAATTTAACTTCTTCGTTCCCAGTTTGGAGGCCATTTATTTCTTTCTCTTGCCTGATTGCTCTGGCTAGGACTTCCAATACTATGTTGAAAAGCAGAGGTGATAGGGGACAGCCCTATTGTGTACCTGAACATAAAGCAAAAAGTTTCAGTTTTTCACCATTAATTATGATATTAGCTGAGGGTTTGTCTTATATGGCCTTTACTATGTTAAGGTATTTTCCTTCTATTGGGTTGTCGGAAAAGTCATGATGTATTTTTCCTATGCTTTTTGTTGCAAAAATGCATTATGACTTTTCCAACAACCCAATATATCCATTTTATTAAGTGTTTTAATCATAAATGGATGCTGTATCTTGTCAAACGCTTTTTCTGCATCTATTGATATAATCATATGATTTTTGTCCTTTATTTTGTTTATGTGGAGTATCACATTGATCGATTTGCATATGTTGAACCATCCTTGTGCCCCTGGGATGAACCCCACTTGGTCATGATATATAATCTTTTTAATACATTGTTGCATTCGATTTGCTAGAATTTCGTTTAGGATTTTTGCATCTGTATTCATCAGAGATATTGGTCTGTAATTTTCTTTTTTGTGTTATCCTTACCAGGTTTTGATATCAGGGTAATGTTGGACTCATAAAATGAGTTAGGGGGTATTGTCTCTTCTTCAATTTTTTGGGAAGAGTTTGAGTAGATCCTCTTTGAATGTTTGGTAGAATTCACTAGTGAAGCCATCTGGTCCTGGACTTTGGCTTTTGGGAAGGTTTCAGATGACTGATTCATTTCCTTACTGTTGATTTCTCTATTTAGATTTTCCAGTTCTTCATGATTCAGCCTAGGAAGGCTATATGTTTCTAAGAACATGTCCATTTCTTCTAGGTTATTGTATTTGGTGGCATATAATCCTTCATAGTATTCTTGGATGATCCTTTGTATTTCTGTGGCATCTGTGGTAACTTCCCTTCTTTCATTTCTGATTTTGTTTATTGGTGTCTTTTCTCTTTTTATCTTAGTGAGTCTAGCCAAGGGTCTGTCAATTTTATTAATCTTTTCTAAGAACCAGCTCTTTGTTGCATTAATTTTTTCTATTGTTTTTTTGTTCTCTATTTCATTTAGTTCTGCTCTGATTTTTATTATTTCCTTCCGTCTGCTGAATTTGGGTTTCAATTGTTCTTCTTTTTCTAGTTCTTTAAGGTGTAACATGAGATTATTTATCTGGGATTTTTCTTGTTTCTTGAGATAGGCCTATAATGATATAAATTTCCCTCTTAAAACTGCTTTCGCTGCATCCCAAAAATTTTGGAAGGATGTATCTTCATT